GCATTGTGTTTCCCTGGAAATGGGTATGTCCAGAGACTTGCATCCAGAATAACTGCTACCCCTCCCCTCCCTGCCTCCGCTCCTCAGGTGAAAAATTAAAAGAGACTTGGGAGCTTATGGGAGTGCTGACACACACTGGCCCATAGGCAGCAATTAACTTATGCTAAGCACCATAGGTCCTACAGCAAGCCTCCTACTGATTAGCACCCATTTGTTTCTCTACATCCAAATTTGCAAAACTTTCCTGCCTGTACATAAATATGCACCTTCTTATTTCCTGGGTGATGATTTTTGTTGTAGTACTTCTTGCACCTAAAAATGAAAATAATGCAGCAGTGCACACTCCACTCCTGGGGCTGCTCTGCTAAACAAGAGCAGGGGCTCCCAGGATGAAGAAGTGTCACTTTATTCTCATTAATTAAGCTGAAAATATTAATACTCCTTGGCTCCACAGTTGTCACAGGGTGTGCCAGCCAGTTCAAAGTTGATCTTTATTAGCAAAAACACAATCTCCATAGACCGGGCTGAGTGTCAGACCTAATGAGCACATCAGTGCATTCTCTATGGATCTTATTCTATGAAATTAGTTGCCGATACTAAAGGTTCCCTCCTCCCCACAGCTGTCTATGTCTCCTCCTCTGCAGGGCATTCCCCAAGCAACTGGAGACTGTGCATACATGCAGCCAATCTCTCCTCCAACCTTTTCATGCCTCTCCTGGTTCTGGGTGACAGGGAGGGAGGGAAGCTTGTCACAGCAGGAGGGGGAGACACCCATGCCTCTTCACCAGCCTCGTTCAGCGCTGTCTCTTGACCTCCCTCCTCCCATTCACCAGCTCAGCTTCTGATTCTTGACTTCTCTCTGCCACAGACTCTCCTAGCTCACTAAGCCTTGTTAGCCTTTCAGCTTCTGACACCTCATCTCACCAGCTTTCTCCTCTGACCAGTTTCATCATCAGTACATAACTATTCTTTCCTTTTCACTTCTGTATAGCAAGAAAGGCAAACGGCTACTTCAAATATGTAACTGCAATTTTCAGCAAGGCAAAAAACAACTTCAGGTATAACTTGGTGTGAAACACAGATTTTGGAACGCACTGATTTGTGGTGATATAGTTCAGGTGCTGACACTATGTACCATCTCATTTCCCAGATGTTGAAGTAATGGCTGAGTCTGCCATTCAATGCTTTGAAATGCTTCAAGAGAGACCTTTGTTTCTGGATTAGATTGAAGGCTGGAAGTTCTGTGCTGATGACAACCAGATGGCTATCTGGGAGGTAGGCATTTAGCCAAAAATTCTTTCCAACCCACCTCTATATTAAATGAAGACATTTCAAGAGCTTTATCTATATTTCAAAATTTCTTCATAACTGATTAAATGAAGTTGTCATCTATTTAAGAACAAATCTTGGCTTAACAGTAAGGTTTGTTTGAAGCAAAACAAACCACAATCACTGGTTTGGGCATAATGTTATGGCAGGGATCATGGCTTCCTGCTGCTACTCATGCTAGAGAAAGAGAACTGAAGCAAGAGCAATCTTCATGGTTCATGTCTGTGGAATGCCATCTCCTAACATATTTTGTTGACACCAGTCCTGATGGGTTTCACACAAACTTACAAAGACATTTTTATTTACTCAGACATTTGGTTGTTGACTGGAGGAAATGTTTGGTCATGTTTATGCTTCATGGTTATGCTGCTGCCATGTCAATTTGATTTATTGTGGTTTAATTTTTTATATTGCTTTATTTTAGGATTGTATTATATATTTTGTTGTACCCCACTTTGGGATTGATTTTCATGCAGAACTGGTTATACATTACCTGAATAAGTAAAAATAATAATTAAGGTTACTATGATGTGCCAACTGTGTTATAGTATGTGTGATGAGCTTCCAGAAAGAAAACAAAGGTGCTGGCTGATGGCAATCAGGCATAAGTTTCCTTAAACGTAGGCCTGAGATCTGTATTGTATTTATAAATAATAAATATACCAATATATCCAAATGAAGTTGCCTTACCTGAAGTTCTGTTTCTATGACCTAATTTTCTACTTGTTACTGAGGTGAGCACATTCAGTGATAATGCTGATGGGTGGCACTGTATAGCTAATTTGTGCTAACCTATTCTGCTATTAAAGGTAAGGTAAAGGACCCCTGTATGGTTAAGTCCAGTCAAAGGTGACTATGGGGTTGCGGTGCTCATCTCGCTTTCAGGCTGAGGGAGCCGGTGTTTGTCCAGAGACAGCTTTCTGGGTCATTTGGCCAGCATGACTAAACCGCTTCTGGTGCAACGGGACACCGTGACAGAAACCAGAGCGCACGGAAACACCGTTTACCTTCCCGCTGCAGCGGTACCTATTTATCTACTTGCACAGGTATGCTTTCAAACTGCTAGGTTGGCAGGAGCTGGGACAGAGCAATGGGAGTTCACTCTGTTGCGGGGATTCGAACTGCTGACCTTCCAATCGGCAAGCCCAAGAGGTTCAGTAGTTTAGACCACAGCGCCACCCGCATCCTCTATTATGCTATTACATAACACATTACCTCTTGCCTTATTGGCTTTATGTGCTGACGATCAGACATCCACCTAGGAGAAAACTCCATTCGCTGCAGACGTTTCTCCTAAAAAGTGGTGAAAGAAATCAACATGGATCAGCATTGGTACAAAGGCTTTGTATTTGGATGTATGTCATTTATTAGTAACAATTTCTGTAATATTTTTCAATGTACAGAGCGCTTAGCAATTCATTTCTCATTTATCATCCCTCACAGATGAAGTCACAGAAGCTATTACTCAAAGACCAGGCCTGGATAATGAATTACAGGAGTTGATTTTTCAAGTGATATCAAGAACAAAAGCAAAGCAAACAAACAAACAAACTACAAAAGACTGAGTGCTGCTGAGATTGACAAGTATCCTCCAGATTCAAATATCAAAGAATTAGAGTGCTGAAATGGACTAAAATACCATCCAGTGCAACCTTCTGCCACAAAGCAGGACCAATCAACCTTCTATTCAATGTTTTAAAACCAGAGAGTAAGTAATCTCACACATATGTCAAGCCAAATGCTGCAAATGAAAGCATACTTCCCCTTCCAGAACACTGTCAATCAGAACTGAGGTAGTGAAGGGGATGGGAGGGGGGGAGAGAACATAGCTATCACTACAATGCTCTCAAGAGAAATACAATTAAATTCTTCTCCATTCTACTCAATAGCCCACTTCTGAGCACAGAGATTACAAATTCTCCCAAAACTGAACAAAATGGTTCTTATCTACTGCAAAGAATGCACTTGGAACTCTACAGCAGTTCTAGATAGCCAAACTTCTTCACTTTCTCCCCTTGATTACTGGCTATCTGAATTTAACCATGGCACAATAATGCAATTTAGATCGATCTTCTGACTTTTATTTCATTGTGAAGAAAATCTCGAGCACATATTGTTAGCATATGCAGATGCCTCAAATATTCAGTGAGTTTGTGTGAATGATCTAGAAGTCAAATGTTTTCTATTATACATTATCCAGTTGCCTTTTTTCTCTACAACTATTGCCTCTCCAGCATTACCTATGTGTATCCTCCTTTTTTTCTCCACTAACTTGTGCATGTTTTTAAAAAAGAAACAGCAAAAAAATCCAGATGTTACAAAGCACATAAGTATGTTTGAGAAAAATGTTATCATTTTTTTGAGGGGGGAGGGGGAATTCCAACAACATAACTTTGATTATCTGGTCACAGAATCTGGGCCCTATCAATTTCTTCTTCATATAAACAAAAAACAAACCTGCTCTCAACTCTCAAATTATTCAGATACTCCTTCTTACCTTTTGTGCAATCATGTTGCAGATCTCTGGCAGGAAATCTTCACTCAGGAGCTTGTAAAGCTGCCTCTCTCTTAAAGATGTTCTCTCTCGGAAGCTCTCTGTGACCTGCTTCCACTCCTCTTCTGTCTGACATAGCAGCCACCATGTTCCATGACCTGGTCCTTGAGAACCTTTGACAAAATAAAGTAAAAATGCTAAGCAATGAGAGCATAAGCACTAATATGACAGGTATCACATGACCTAACATGTACCAATAAGCCACAAGTAACACAAGTGTGTTAATTTTGTATGAGGAATGGGATGGTGGCTTCCTAGGACAGATGACCAAACATTCAAAAAGGAGAGCTGAGTAGTCATGAGAGACTTCAACTACACTAATATCTGTCTGAACCCAAACTCTGCCATGATATCACAGATATCATTAAGGTCCAACAAATTCCTCCATTGCCTTGCTGACGATTTCATTTTCCAGAAGGTAGAAGAAGCAACAAAGGGATCATTTATTTTGGACCTGGTCCTCATCAACAGGAACGAACTGATCAATGAGGTAGAAGTACTGGGAACATTGGGAGAAAGTGGCCATGTCCTCTTGGGTTTCATTATACAGAGGCAAGGGAACGCTGAGTGAATTTAAATATGCACTCTGCACTGATTTCAAAAGGCTTAAGAAACTACTGGATGAAATCCCATGGTTAGAAATACTCAAAGAGAAGGAAAGCCAAGAAGGGTGTGAGTTTCTTGAAGGTGAAATATGAAAAAGCATAAATACAGACAATTCCAACAAGAAAGTAAAGTGGGAAGCATCTAAAGAAAGCATTCAGACTCGACTGCCATTACTTTAAATACAGAGAGAACTGTACAAATGAAATTCTAATTAATACAAGCAGGCCTCTTGTTCCCTATCTGTTTAGAATGAATTTGACAAAAGAGAAAGGATTATCAGGAAGCCCTCCATCCAGTATTAAAAAAATTAACTATGGTCCATAATTTCCCCTTACCATTTCTCATCTGTGACTCACACACAAGTGCGTTTTCTTCTGCCTTCTCTCTATGAGCAACAAATAAAATAAACAGTATTGTTAGGAAATGATATAGAATCATAGAACTGTAGAGTTGCAGAGCTGGAAGGGACCACAAGGGCCATCTACTCCAACCCCCTGCAATGGAGGAATCTTTTGTCCAACAAGAGGCTTGAACATACAACCCTGAGATTAAGAGTCTCATGCTCTACCGGCTAAGCTATAAAGCAAATTTAAGCAAAGTAATACATTCACTGCTAGAATGAAACAAATACTGCCACTGAAATGTCACAGCACTTGGTAGATATTGATGTAGCTCAGTTTTAGCATTAGAAGGCGAATCATAGGCTACATATGGTCATAAAGTTCAATTTGAATTCAGGTCCCCTTCAGAAGGCTTTATATTCAACAAGACTTGTTCACATTCATCCCCTGTTACTTATGCCACAACCTTTTCACCATCCCCTTCATTTTCATTACGTTCAACATATAGATTGTAAGCTTCTCTACTCTGTAAAGCATCATGTACTCAGATGACACTACACAAACACATGCATTTGATTATCTTTGGCTAATATTTCAAACATGGCATTTCTTTACCTTAAGAGATTCTCCTCCAGTAGTTTCTTTCGTTTTGGAGGTCGCCCTCGTCTTTTTACTATTTTTCCAGGAATGTTTTGAGTGCTTGTCTGTATCCCACATCCCCTAGAACACATTGAAAAGTTACAGAATAGCTAAAGAATATGATAGTAGCAGTTGGCAAGAGCAGGAGGGTAACAAGAGAGCAGCAGTGACCATAAGAAGCACTGAAACAGCTGCTAGGAGTCAAGCTAGGAAAGAGATTCGTTCCAAGGAGGGTAACAGAAGAGAAGGGCACAGCTACTTGGGAAATTAATCCAACAGTGGGCATGACTCTTTTTCCAGCAGGTAGTAAGTAAGTGTGGCAAAATGTGTCTCAAGTGGCAGAATTCTTAAGATCTGCAAGGCTGTACTTGATTTTAGCTGCCCTATACAAGAACCACTCTGGTATAATGTCTAGAGTAGAATTTTCTCTAATTCCCAAGTACCATCTTTGTAATGGATTCCTTGTGAGACCTTGAAGCAGTCACTTTCTTAGCTTCACTTCCCAGCCTGTAAAATGGGAACAACAGCCGCCTATCTCAGAAGGCTTTTGAAGGGGCTTTTGAAGGCAAACAGAATAAAAACAATAAAATACTCTGAAAACTCTGCATATTTTGTAATTAAGAGGAAATAAGTAAACTTGTTGATTTTGTAGCCCTTGCAGTGGTCCTCCAATCACTATTCCTTTCATAAATTTGCTCCTTTGTGGGACTCTCATCCACCTTCTCCTTGCTACAAAGGTAAGTTTGTACCTGTCTGAAGGCATTTCTCCATTTGGTTTCATGGGTTCCTCTTTGTACATACGAGTGCCATAGAAATACCAGTAGAGGGCACCGTTGCCATCCTCACCCAGCGGTTCCACCCGAAGGCTATCTGCATCCAAACCCTGTATTTGAAAGCAAATATACAAAAAGACAACGGTGGAAAACCAACCACCAACACTTGTCCACTAATACTGTTTAAAGTACAGGCATCTCTGGGGTTCTGGGCAGCCTGTAACGTGTTTGAAAAAATAAGCCGTCCTTTCTTGGCTAAATATAAGTTCTTCATGGTCACTTCATTTTGACAATGCCCTCTTTTGTGAACCTAACAAAGATGGACAAATAACACTGAGTAGCTTTTTATGCAGCATGAAACAATCATATAACAGTTTTGCACACAACATTTGATTCAACCAATATATCCACCTTCTGTTGGCCCAGCACATTTTTCTGCTGTTCAGTATCACTGCTGCATTTGTTGCACCCATCTTAAAACCCTGACTGTGCCCACCACAGGTGGTGTACACAGTCAAACTTTATCTTGCCAAAAAATGGTCAGATGCGTCAATTCACTGTGAGATTTGTGCGCTACAAATATATTCACGAGAAAGGCTAATTAAAGCTTGCTAAAGCCAAACCCAAAGTGGCCTCTTATACCTTTCATAGCAAAACAGCAGGTGGGCTCTCCCTCCTCAAATGCCAAAATTCTAAAGTTCCACAAAGACCATACTTGGCTTCAGCTGCAAGCAGGTGCATCTTCTACCACAGTATTGCAGTAACAAGAGAAGTCACACCTGCTGAACGTCTCCCTTCAAGCAGCAATGAAAGGACCTTGTCTGATATAATGGTTGCCTGCACAACACTGTTCCGGGGATTATTTCTAAAGCGGCATTATGCATGAAACCGGTCATCCTTGAACTTTTTTTGGAAACAACCTGATTGCAAAACTGAATTCCTGATAACTCTTGGTCATAGATACTTACTGAAAAAATGACATGAGATAATTTATTCCAGTGTAATGACATTCAAATGGATTAATTGAGTGGGATACTTCTAAAAATGTTTTCACCTGTGGTTATGATGGTTGGCTGATAAACTCACCCTCTATCTGTGGTAACAAGCCACGTGGTGAGGCAGGCTTTACAGCTCCTCTACCACCTCACATATATGTACATTTCACACTGTGTTGCAAATCCACACTGGCTACATTCAGACAATCCTACAAACCACTTTTTGGATCATGGCTTAGTGTTGTACATGCTCATTTTGCAGGGACAAAACTAGGCTTTATTTCACCCGTGTCAAAAAACCCAGTTTGGGGGGGGGGCATTTGTGTGTACACACACACAGATCCTCAATGGGAGCCTCAATGGTGCCCCTCTAGAAGCTTCACCCAGGGCAAAAAACCCCCAGCTACATCTGATCTGACAAAGTGTGGTTTTAGTCAGTCTCTCAGACCAGGATCAAACAACAGTTTCTGACATCACACTTTATAGAAAAAACTTGCTTTTCATTTTAAAAGAAAAATAAATAAGCCTGCACATGGAGGAACACATTAATATAATGCTTATTTCACGATCCCCCAAATCATGGTCTGGATTTAGTCACTATGAGATTATAAGCAGACACCTCACAGTAAATGGCCATCCGTAAGCCTCAGCAATGTCAATAAAGCATTTAAAAATATCAACAAATAGGTTACATACATTGAGTAACAGAAATGACACAGACAATTTTGTTGAATGTGGCATCCTTTAAAAAAATACTTTACTGATAACCCTGAAAAATGGAAAGCAATGAAATCACAGATTGGACTTTGGCAAACTTAAATAGGATGATCCGTACTGGAAGGAGGGCGTAACCCTCCCTTTTGTAATTATTATATATTGGAAATCAATAAAACTATATTTATTTTTAAAAGACAACAAAAAAAGATACTAACTTTCCTTAAAATGCTATGCATTCCTTACAGTTATTTTAATTATGATTAACACTTGCAACTTGAGGGCCACATTTTATGCAAAGAACAATAAAAATACCTAGCCTCTCTTAACTAGTAACACAACACAGCTGCTGTTGGCATTCACAATAACCACTGTATCTAACAAAGGCTGGGTTCTATGACCACATGCACATACCAATGCCTATCAACCAAGCATAGTAAGGGAGCAGTCTCTCCAAAACAACTCAGATTTTACTACTACCTGTGGTTTTCAAAATTAGCAAATGCCTTGTGAAGACACTATGCAGAAGTGTGTGTAAATAACTCCCAACAACAACAAAAAAGGAACAAAAAATAAATTACAGCTAGAGACAGTATAGTGTTGCAAACGAAAAGTTCCCACGTGTTGATGCTTAGTCTGGCAATCAAACAACAACAAGGGAATGCATGAAGTTGTAGTCCAGAATACTTCCTACCTGACATTAATCTATTAAAACTCGGATAGCTTCTCAATATTTCCACAACCACCAATGAGCCTTCTTTAACACAGAACACTGATTCACTTAAAAAATGCACACGAGGCATCAGTAAATCAAAGATACCAGAGAGCAATATCCAATTTCATACACTTGTTTCTTCAGGTTGTCCAGTTTGGGAAGACTAAAGACATCAAACAATCTAACAAATTAAGCCACCTTTTAAATGAGCTTAGTAACAAAAAGTGATATAGAATGTACCTATGAACACAAAGTGTTAACTTCTTAGTGGAAAGTGTGTACCATTCCACTTTCCAGTTCCCTATCCAACATCTGTCACCACCCAACACACCTTGAGTAGGTCAAAGACATCATCAGCATCAAGTCGGTAATCACAAAGGCGGTGCAGGATCTCCACACGAGTGCGCAAGGGTAGCTCTTGGAAAGTAGATTCTCGTAAGGGATTAGGCTTCCCTTCCTCCAGTTCCCAGCGATAGTTGATGATGTCCTCCAGGTAGCCATGAAATGTCTGAGACCTAATAAAAAGAACATATGTTCATAAAGTACCTTACACAGCCTGATGAGGAATTCATCTTTAAATAGCTGACATATATAAAAATTCTGTTTTGGCAAACAGGCACTTCAAAACTGGTCCAGTTCCTTGCATGTGGTTAGGCTTACATGCTCTGCTCATCTCACAAAACAATTTATATCAAATAGGACAATAGTTAGGAGTTATTCTTTTGTATAAAAAAAATTTTACAATGATTTTTAAAAATAATGATTCCCATAAAGGCATACATGTAGAAAATTCCGTAAGATTGGTAAAAGAACAGCTTTTTAAAAATTGGTACAAGGGTAATGGACTACATTTATCAGACTGCTAGAGTATTTGTCCTTAAAAGAAGCAACTAAGAGAGGGTAGTCTAGCAGCCCCCATGAATTTTCCATTAATATATTGAATCAGAAAGTTTTATATGTAAATCAAATTTAAATCGAATTCAGCATTTATTGGCATAGTTTAGACAACAATGTCATAAAAGATAAATAAATAAAACATCCATAAAACATTGGCAATCCAGACATATAGTGTAGTGCTATATGTATCAGAACAGGAGTAGGAAACCTTTTTGGTCCAGCAAGTCACATCTTTATTTCCTTCCACCACCTGGGCCAACTTTGACAAGTGGGCAGGGCCAGTCACTTGTTAATCATCTGACAGACACCTGACAAAGCTGGTCTGCAGGTATGGGGAAGATCAAAGGGCTTGCTCAGCTTTGTGCTCATTGCTTCCCAAATACCCCCAAACCAGCTGGTTATATGATGTGACATACAATGTCAGGTGAAGGCTTGCCCAAAACATCCAGCCAAGTCATGTCAGGGCAAATAAGTTGTTTTAAAATTTTAAAAACCCCATAATGTGTAATACTA